CTTATGCTATGTGTAAGCAGATCATCAACAGCAGCAGTAGATAAGTGTTAGGTGGGAGAGGAGCTAGAGTTGAAGTCAGGATGAGGTATGGTCTTCAACTATTCTGTGCTTGGACTACTACTCGGGATTTTGGCCAGTGATCCACACCTTTTTGTAAAAATGTTTTGAGAACGTTTTTCATGTGCATACTAGCTTCTGATGTAGTGTGAGATATCCATAGAGGTGGAAAGTTGATGATATGTGTATATTTATGTGGTTGTGTAAGTTATGACGATTATGATATGTATTAGTAAGGTATGCAGTTGTGGAGCATGAAACTGTGACTATGGCTATGAAAAGCCAATGCATATGGCAGTGAGTGTATATGTTTGTCTATGAATGCAAGGATTTAGATGAATTATTTTGCAGGATCAGATGGAAGAACTGTTAGCCCATTACGCGAGTAATTCATGTCGAAATTTTATTTGGGTAAATTTTGATAATTAATGTAACACCCGAGATGAATTCCGCTGCAATTGTATGAACAATATGATTAGGCAAAACGTATAGGGTAGGGTGTTACACTGCTTCCTCATTGGATCCATAAATTGTAGTAAAAAAGAAGTTGGTTCCAATTCGTGCATCACTAACATATGCATATAATAATCAACACTATCACTAATCTTGGCAGCCTGCAACCCTTTCCTCCAGAAAACCCAAATTATGCCCAGAGGGGCATGATTATAGATGCGTTTGACCTCATAATCATCAAACTTTGCATTTATTTCATCTGAGGTACTAGCTTGCACACGAGTTTCTAAGATTGCACCTACCTCCACCTTATATCTACCTAGGTAATCAAACACAGAAGTGTGCTTGGAGAGGTTATTGAACCCTCTCAAGTTCCATACCAGACAATTCATTGTGAAGGATGGGTTGTATTACCCCTATCCTTACCACCTTTTCTATTACCTTTCTTTGGAGCCTATAGTACCACATCTCTCCCATGAGCAGCTTCCTGAGGAGAAGTAATAGGCGGAGAAGACGAACTAGCCACCTCAATTATAACAGATATTGGTGAGGGAGGGATGGAAATCTCCTTACCCTTCCCATTAGTTGCATCGACATTTTTTGTAACTGTCGTTGCTGGAACTTCAACAATATGAAGATTCTTCTTCTGCCAGACCCTCCTCACTTATCCTATTGTGCTAACACAATAATGAAAAAACTGCACTCCTTACAGCGAGCAGGTAGGTCACAGTATTCAAGTTTGATTGTGAAAACCTTTCCTCCTCCCACAACAAATCTAACTTGATCAGTCAGCATTGCCGAAGCCTCAACCTCAACGCTGATCTTAGCATACCCTAACTTTAATTCCTTGCACGTTTGCCAATTAGAGTCACTACTCTATCCAACCCATCCTTAGAAAGCAATTCTAAAGGGAAATCGATCAGCTTAACCCAAATTGGCAGTGCCTTATTATCAAGTTCAAGTGCTCGGATCCCCATCTCCCAAAGTCGAAGGAAAAACATAGTCTTACAGGTGCCAAGGCCCCCCCCCTCGAAAACTCAATTGCAAGAAGCATCTTAGGGCAATTGGAACATAACAAGACGGTCACACAACCAAAAGACTCGTACCTTGCCATCTCGTCCCCAGAAACGATCCGCCCAGCTACGAATCACCCATAATGGCGGAGGCTTCCCAGAAATACATCTTTTTCCATACACCTAAATACTCATTAATAAATTGGTCACTCAACCGACTCCGAAGATCATTCTTGATTAACTTCATAGCTGAGAATACTCTTTCATAAATTGTAGTGGCAGCAGTTAAAGTCAATACTAACTTCATATGGGAAAATCAGAATGAGAGGCTGAAGGATGGTGTGGCATGCGACATGATGAAGCTTGAACGAGAATGGGGATGCCGACATTTGGAGGGTGGATCAAAGAGCAGAAAGCTGCAAGGCAGGAATTAAAGATTTTTTCCATCTTGATACTCGACGAACATACGAATGAGAGGAAGAAATGTGAATTAAAAATGAAATTGTAATAAAATAATAAATTGTATAATAAATTGTATAAATGTGAATTAAAGATTTTTTTCCATCTTGTAATAAAATAATAAATTGTATAATTTATTATAATTAATTAAAAATGAAAAAGAATCTTGTATAACTTTATGAAAACGAGTTTTTTGCATTTTTTGCGGTATAATAAACTAGATTAGAGTCTGTCCATTGGCCAGATGAATTATACATCAATAAAACAATTCAAATTATTCAATTACTAAAAATATCAAAAGTAACATACATCATAAGTTTTACGACATCTTGATCATTATGAACACAAATCCTATCGAAAATAAAAACACAACTCATGCAGGTTAGAATTCCTAAAAATTTTAATATTCAAAATGCACTTCAATTTACTATTCGGTATTAAAAATTATTGTAAATTATTTTTTGGATTTCTTTGTGATTGCTTTGTCATCAAAAGCATCTTCTCCAGACAACTTTTTCTTCATTAAAGGAGCCTTTATAATTATCGTAAATAGCTCTTCCTTTTTCTCCTGCATTTTATTGAAAACCACATTTTAATGGTTAAATGTTTGAAAATGTGAAACATCATTTTTCGTAGTAGTAGTAGAATTCACCTCATCTAAATCATAAATATAAATAACGAGTAAAAAATCCAAATCAAACTCGAGCCTCGTAATCGCCTCGAAGATATTCTTTTTTTGCACTATTATATCACTAGGCTCGCTATTTCCTCTTATCATTAAAATTTATATATCCACCATCAACAATCTCTTCCTTTATCTCAACAATGTCATTATCTCCATCGAATTCACTGCCTCCACCATTAGCATACTCTTCATTCTACTCTTACATTTCACCGAATGCGAAAAATTAATGGCAAAATATTTATGATTGCAAACCCAATTTTGAGACACTTAAATTTACCTAGTACATGTCATGAAATTTGTCTGATATTGCTCTTCTTCACCCTCCATTATCTTCAAATATGGAAACCTGCTTATGGGGGCTCGGAATGTTGTAATCAATGAGTTTGATATAAAAATTTAACTTTGTTCTCTGAATTGGTAGGGGGACGAGGAGGTGATGGTTCTCTTATTGTGTCACTATCTTTGAGTAGTTTCTCAATGAGCATTCCAAAAAACTTAGCTCCCTCGTGATATAGATCAATAAAATTAGATTAAACAATCTTGTCTTCAACTCAGAGCTGAATCCTGAATATATGATTTAGTGGGTACACTTTTTTTATAGAATGAATTAACTTGAAGATAAAAACAATAGAACAATACTGGTAGATTGTTACTGAACTGCCATTGTCTTTGAGGTTGTTGTATAATTCTTATAAAATATTATCACCGTAGTATTCTTCAATGTTTCTTTCACACGCTTCTATTCATATATGATTTTTCTAACTCCATTTTTTTAATTCAGAGTTAAAACAAATGGAATACAGCTCGTTGAATTTGCGAAAAATTGAAAACCCCTTAAATATACCTACTGAGAATTGTGCCAACTATTTGTAACTTGGGTCGCTACTTGGGGGTTCCGGTTCTCCATGGCAGAGTCACTAAGGATACTTATAAGTATGTTTTGGAGAAGATTGATCAGCGCCTCTCTGGTTGGAAGGCGAGAAGCTTATCTCTAGCTGGCCGGGTGACCTTGACGCTTTCAGTATTGAATGCCCTTCCTAACTATGTCATGCAAACGGCGGTCCTCCCCATTTCGGTTTGCGAGATCATCGACAAGAAAGTGAGAGCCTTTGTCTGGGGTACTGAAAATGGCAATCCCAAGACGCATTTGGTTAAATGGGAAACCATCTGTAAACCGAAAGAAGAAGGTGGTCTTGGGTTAAGATCAGCAAGGGCGCTTAACCTCTCATACTTGATGAAATTGGGATGGGCTTTCCTTAACCAATCAGATGAGCTATGGATTCGCATTCTGCAGGGGAAATATTTTACAACTAATGCTGCAGGTGTCATGACCATGAAGAAAAGCAATTTCTCAAGGCTTTGGAGAGGAATTGTTGATACCTGGCCCATTCTGAAGCAACGTATTGTGTGGGACATTCGGGGAGGTTGTAATGTCCACTTTTGGACGGACTCTTGGCTAGCCGAGGGGATTGTTCTAGGGATCAGATTACTGGCGATGGAGCGGAGATCAATTGGCATGCCACAGTGGCGGATATGGCTACTGCCGAAGGTGAGTGGAAGTGGAATGAGATTGTGCAACATCTAACTCAGAATTTGGTTGCTTTGATTGCAGGTACTGATCCGCCTAAGGAGCCTGGGGTATGGAGCAGGATGGGAAGTTTAAACTTCGATCTGCCTACTTGGCGGCCGTGGAGTGGCTGAGTGACGACGAGCCTGAGTCAGAAGAGATGACTGCCCAACCGCATTGGAAGCAGCTTTGGAAATGGGCCGGCCCGAACAGGATAAAACATTTCTTGTGGTTGGTTTTCCATGACAGGCTAATGACGAACGCGGAGCGGAAGAGAAGGAAACTCACCATGATTGACACCTGCCCGACTTGCGGATCTGAGGCAGAAACAGCAGAACACATCCTGCGTCACTGTTCGAGCTCCCAACAGGTATGGCGTAATCTGGGAATCCATGATGATCTACTCACGTGCGGCCTTGGCTTTGCAGCATGGCTGGACAAGCACCTCAGGGAGGACAAGGAAGGTCTCTTATTCGGAGTAGCAGCTTGGTACCTCTGGAAAAGACGGAACGAGAAGGTTTTTCATAATTTGAATCAGGAGGATCATGTGCTGGCGCACCGGATTCGTTGCTGGACGATGACCATCAGGCAAGCTCTAACAGATGACAAGGCGATCAGCGACGCAGTGCCAGAGAAATCAGCTCATCAGTGTGCTTGGATCCCACCACCTCAAGACTGGGTGTGCGTGAACACAGACGGCTCAGTGAAACAACCAGGATCGACGGCTGCTGGCGGCGGATTGATTCGAGATTGGTCGGGAAAATGCATGGGAGCGTTTGTGGAGAACCTCGGAGTGTGCACGATAACTCGTGCTGAAATTATGGCGGCCATCCGAGGACTCCAGCTTGCGTGGAGAAACGGCTAGAGGAAGGTCCTCCTTCAAATGGATTCCACAACAGCAATTAATATCCTCTCCGCCAGTAATCACATGGAGCAAAGGTACTGTATCCTGGTTCAGCAATTCCAGGAGCTCCTTAATAAAAGCTGGGAAGTGAAGATTTCCCACATCTACAGAGAAGGGAACAAGGCAGCAGATTTCATGGCCAACAAGGGCCATACCAGTAGCATTGGGTATCATGATTTTGAGGTCTCTGACTCTGGTTTAGCTTTTTGGATCTTGTATGACATTCTGGGTATTTCCCAAACCCGTTTAATCTAAGTTTCAGGCAGGGGCGCCCTTTTAGCGTCCCACTTTCCTACCAAAAAAAAAAAAGGAGGTGATGCATAAAAATATTATCCTTTTTTACTTGGTTGTTTGGAGATCGAGCTGGAGCACTGTTTTGTCCATTATATGATTTTCCATGGAGAATATTTTTTCGAAGCATTGAATTAGAACGTAATCAATTATATATCTACTGGTTTCAAACTTTGAACTTCAAGGTGGATACTTTATCTCGCCTCAAACACGTTTTGTTAATTAATGTTGATTTTTTTTACGAATTATAGATTTCTCCCTTTACTTTATTGATGTGAAATTTGCTTAGATTTCTCATGTTTTTTTTTTGTTTTAATCACTAGCTTGACACCACATTTTTAGAAGTTCTTCCTTTTTCTTGTGAAGACAAATTTCTTTATTTAAGTGAAGATCAAAAGATGAAATACTTTCTACCAAAGAAAAAAAAAGATGAAATACCATACAGATCCCAAACTCGGGCAATTACCTGACATAATTATAAGTGGAAAGACACATATACCCTTCCTTGAATTACGCAGAGACCTCTCTTTTCTAATCTAAACCCATCCTTCCGTGGAACGTCCTTATATTAGTGTGTAGATGTGTAGATAGATAGATACATATATCGAAGCTGCGTTGGAATTCTTGAATTAAAAACTTTTGTACTGATGAAACTTAAAGCTCAGTCTCTAACACTTGGGTCCGCCACCAGAAATAAGTCATTTACCAGTGATGTCGGGTGCATGGACAGGAATTTCTACAGTTGGATTTCAAGAAGATTGCGTTGGCTTTATTAAAAAAAACAAAAAGATAGTAGGGATTTCCTATGGTAACTTGAAGTAAGGTAACTTGAGTTTTCTTACCTGCTATAGCAGGTTTCACAGGTCGCATTACGTAAAATACAACAGGCATTACTTAATGGTTACTTAACCTATGGTAGTCTTACGTAACAGTTGTAAAAGATCATTACGGAAGCATTACGTAATAGAATGTGTCTTTACGTAATGAGTATTAACTTCGAGTTACGTAAAACGCTAAGTCATTACGAAAGCCTTACGTAACGCTACTAATTTAATTGTTACGTAACAAATAATTGTCGTTCCGTAACCTTTACGTAATGGAATATCTTTTTACGTAATGAGTATTAACCTCGCGTTACGTAAAGTGCAAAGTCATTACGGAAGCCTTACGTAACGCTTCCGATTGAACTGTTACGTAAGAAATAACTATCGTTCCTTAACCTTTACGTAATGAATGTGTATTTTACGTAACAGTTGTAAAATATCATTACGGAAGCCTTACGTAATGGAAGGTATTTTTACGTAATGAGTATTAACGTCGTGTTACGTAAAGAGCTAAGTTATTACGGAAGGCTTACGTAACGCTTCTAATTCAATAAAAATTAAAACAAGGAAAGAATAAAATAAGGAAATCGACTAAATATGAAAAAGGAAAGAGAATATATAAGAAAGGTAAATGGTGAAGGTGGTGACCGCCAACCTGTTGCTATTAATTTTTTTTTACTTATTTTTTTATTTTTTATTTCTTTAATCAATGGTTTAAAATTAGTTTGATCGATTTTAATGGTTTAGATCTACACAAGTTACCTAACTTGAAATTATACCCAAGTTACTGTAGGAGGTCCCAAAGATAGTATTGGCTACATGCCCATGCACATAAATGTCGAGCCACAAATTGTTAACATCTGTCATAGTTTAATTGGTTCCTCCAGCTGATTACTTTTGTCCTTTTAAACCAATTATTATTATTTCCTATAGCATAATAAAGGAGGATAGAAGATTCAACGAAAAAAAGGTAGATATTTCGTTCCGGCTACAGTCGCAAACTTGCACGTCGGCTAGGAAGACACCATCAGTTCTCCCCTTTGTGTTCTATCAAAATTAATGGAGCCATAATCACTACCACATCGAACCATAAAGTCCATAATCCCTTGTGATTAATTAGGTTAACAATTTTTGAAGTGAGGTACTGTTTGTACACTTTATTTCGCTTGAAATGTCACTAGAGTTTGAGTACTTTTCGATATTAAACATAATTATAAGTCCAAATTGGAAGGCTAGATACCAAGACATCCTAAATCAACTGAACTTAAGACTGCTCAAGGTACAAAAGGAGCAACATGTTAGGGAAAACCAAGGGAGGAGGGTATTTGTATGAAAGCCCGAGACCGGGTGACTAGGATTGTGAGAGAGTCGTGAACAAAATTTATTTTTCGTAAAAAATATTTCCACCCTCCGAAAGTCTAGGGTTACAGGAAATTTCTTCGTAGGATAATACTATCACCACCTTAAAGCCTAGACTTGAGAAACTAAAGCACACTTAGAAGCTTTTGATGGAAGTAGAAGAATGTATATGTTTCTGTGCTGTTTTTCTGACCCATTGCTTCAGCCGAGCTCTTCTATTTATAGATAATGAAACAATATATTGCTTCATCCAAACCATGCATCGTTTAAATTAAACGGTGCTTTTCTCCATGGCAACGACCATTTTATGGAGGGTCGCATTGCTTAGGAAGCAAACATTCACAGAGGGACACGCTTAAATGGGAGGGAGGGGACATGTCTTTTTGTTCATTCAAATTCCACAATTAATCAAGTAAACCAATTATCAAAGGTTATACTAATTTAATTAATCACGTGGAGGCAAAATGAAGTTGGTTAATTCAAATTAAATGGAAGGATGACTTGGTTCATGAGCATACTCACATGTTTAATTATTAACCAATTCGTTCCATGTAATTTTCCAACACAACATGTGCAAGGGTGTGCTTTAGTTTAGAGTTTTTATTTTATTTTAATGAAACTTTACACTTTTAGGTTTTCATGTCTTTTTTCAAATAAAATCATTTGGGATATAAAAAATTTAGTATAAATTTAGAGTGATGGTTTGGATATGTTCATCTGAACCATTTTTCTAGTTGCACAAAATCCTATTATCAAATAAAACTATACAGGATTTTAAATAGCACTGGGCCAAATACCTAAATCGAAAAAATTTATAAGCACTAAACTAACTCTGGATTCGGAGGAGGGCTGGGCCGGGGCCTGGGTTGGCCCAGCCCTGGATCCGCCACTGGTTGGGTCCACGCGAGAAGCTCCTGCACAAAAGGTATGCAAGGGCGAGCTGCGTGAGATTTTCTATACTAAGAGTAGATAAATTTTTTTGCTTCTTCTATAGCAGTTTTCTTAGGCGTCTATTCCTTAGGTAAGCACCAAAGAATTTTTCTAACTAACTCTGCATTGTCATAGCTTTATCCTAAGGCACTGAGTCTACTTACTATTAAATTGAACCTTACATACATGTCTGAGATAGACTCACCTAGGTGCATCCTGAACATATGATATTCATGCACCAATTGATAGATTCTTGATTCTTTTACGTACCTCGGTTGTTTCTTCATGTGATACCTCTAAGGTTTTCCAAATATGATGAGCAGTCTAGCACGGATTCACCTTATTGAACTTGTCTGGACATATTGCACAATATACGTTAGTTGCCTTAGCAACTAATTCCATCTTCTTAAGATCATTCTTCGACCACGTATGACTAGTTCTAACTACACATCCCAATCGCCGGCCAAGTATAACCGTCGATCGGGTGTAGCATAGGGAAAGCAAGCAATAATAATTTATCGTACCATGGGAATCTAGGCTTACCCTACTTCAGTTTTAGGGTTCGTTATCTAGCTAACCTAGAGTAGTGATTAGAAAAAAAAACTTAACTAACCTAGCTAACCACTAACCTAGCTATTTACATGGTTAGGAGCTCTCTTGGGTTAAATCCACCTATTTCCGACCTTTTGATTGATGTTGAGTATCCTCCTAGCTTGATCGACTCAAATACTATACTATTGGGAGATAGACTACCTAGGGATCGACCCGGAACGGCGAATCCAGGGATGAGTAGGTGCTCTATTCACCCTAGTGTTTCATATATTTCTAAGAAGTAGATCGAATAAACTCCCTCGGGGATTATCTGGATAATATACTATACGAGTGACCCAAAGACGCCAATAATGGGCTCTAAGGCGATTTTCTCACTCCTAAGTCAAAAGCTCAATACATGAAAATGGAAACCCAGCTCATGCCATTCATGAAAACATCAATAAATTAAGTAAAATCATTAATCAAACATGTAATTTGTCTCATACATCAACATAAAACCAAAACGTAGACCTAGGGTTCTTAATCCCAGGAGAAGAGGGTGAGTTCCTAGAGAGAGAAGAGAGAAATTACAAGTTTGAGCATAAGATCTGCTTCTTCTTCTAGGCTTGATTCCTTGATTCCAAGTTTGATCAATGTCTTCAATTAAACTCCAAGATCACTCAAGAAATCTCTCTCTCACCGGAACTCTCCTTTGGTGTTTTAGGTCGAAACCCTAGAGAGAGAATCAATTTCTCCTCCAAAAACAAGCTATACCTTCTCTCTCCCTGAAGCTGTCTTTTATACAATTAGAAAGTGCAAAAGACATCAGGGTCACTGTTCACGGCCGTGACATCGGAGGCCAAACCGTGTGCTTGGCTGAAAACGCAAGCGTTGCTGCCGTTTTGTCCGACTTCACGGTCTAGTGCTGGTTTTCACAGTCCGGCACTCGTGAGAACCTAAAGGGCCATTTAGGCGCGCCAATCGTTCTGGAACCTCCCCGCTTCACAGTCACGCGGCGATTGTCAT